AGACTTGACACATTTGCCTTAGTTATTCAACTATAGAGATAACTTGAGAATTATTGTCTATTCTATTAGTCATAGCATCAATATGTGCCACTACATTTCTTGAAGAAATTCAAGAACATACATATGACTCTATTTACCATTTTATGGACCATAACGATACTATGTAATGTACATTTATGCATCCATAATATAGTCCCAGGTGTGTCTCTTAGTCATGAGAATCATCACTATACCAAACTCATTGCTCGAAATCTTCAATTTAGAGTAAATTATCCTAGATGCGGGATCAAATCCATTTTATATGGAACAGTTTGGTTTTTGGGTACTATATATCAAGTACCTTATGTCCATACCAATAATGGTTTTATTGAGTCTCTTATTGAGAATCAAATTGCATGACATATTAAAATAGAATTGTAATTTATCAGAACTAAGTTGTTTACATGCGGCCTTACACACCGCATCGTTAATTCAAATTCATCAAGCTGCACTTATACAACTCCCTCCGTTGCAGTATGTACGTGAAACTTTGGTCGCAGCCAAATATTTCCCATCTGCGCATCGAGTATGTTTTCACATACCCATATCACCACCCCAACATACCAATGGGCATTAGGGATCCCAAGAGATAACTCTACAGGGGATTTATAAATTGCCCGTATGTTGATCACATTTGAGGATAATTCCAGACATTAGGGAGAGATTTATACCACATTAAGAATGCTAGGAATCAAAAGAGAAATCCACACATCCACGTACCAAAAATTCTAAACCTAATCGTTTAGAATATCTTATATTTGCATCATATTGCAAAGAATCTGCCAGAAACATTTACTGATAATAAGGGTGTCACAAAATCCTCTTATCCTACTTATAATGCGTCCAAAAGAATGGAGGTACCAATTAAAACCATTCAACTCCCACTTCCAAAGAAGAGGGGGAGAAGTACGACCGCTCCTAAGGATAATGCTCCAAGTAAGCGTCCGAGGATACCGAGGACAATATCCTCCAAATCAGTAAATCCAAGCCAACCTCAAGTTGGTAGACACCAAAAATGGATGAGCATCCAAAACCCGGATCAAAATCCACCCGGATCAACGGTGCACCCAAATTCTGATCCTGGGACATTGGAACACCCTGACTCCATATGGGAAATGACTTAGAGTCCAAAAGGGTTAACATTTTCACATGCTATATTGATTTCAAGAACCGAATCAATCATTTAAAGACTACAAATTGTCGCGGCATATACTCCTCAAAGATTGTTTTTTTACCTTACTGGATCCAGACCAAAAGTCCTAGGCAGAGTGTCTTCACACTCAAATTTGGTCAAACTAAAAGGTGGCAATTAAGGAGATTGTTCTTATTCAATGATGAGAAGTATTACCACAGTAATATCTTCCCTCACAGAGTTTCTTTTCAGAAGCAAGGTGGTGAACAATGAGAGCTTGTAGCATATGGTTTCACGCAGAGACCCAGCATAGCATACCCCATGGTATGTGTGAAAATGAAGTTTTTCAAATTCAATAATTGACATATTAAATGAATTTGATAGATTCAGACGTATAAGTCCCAATGGACTTCATATTCTGAATCCAAATACAAATCGCAACATACATTGTGTATAATTAAGCATGATTGCGTATATTGGTTATTTTGATATCATCGTGATACAGAAATAATCATGCAATCATTTAAGATACAATTTCCATCATTTGGATTCGAGATGGAGGATTTGGGTAAGACCAAATATTGCCTAGGCTTACAACTTGAGCACCGTCCTCAGGAATTTTAGTGCATCAATCAGCATATATCTAGAAAAATATTAGAGAAATTCAATATAGACAAATCATATCACAACAAAACTCCGATGGTTGTTCATTCTTTAGAAATAGAGAAAGATCCATTTAGACCACGTGATATTGGAGAAAAGATATTGGGATCAAGGTTCCATATCTTAGTGTTATTGGAGCACTTATGTATCTTGCAAATTGCACCAGGCCTGATATCGCATTTACAGTGAACATATTAGTTAGACATAGTGCAAATTCAACTCACCGTCATTAGACGGGAGCGAAGCATATCCTCAGATATCTTAGTGGCATAAAGGATCTTGGTTTATTCTTTAAGAGAAATCATGATCCCAATATGATTGGATACACGGATGCTGGTTACTTATCTGGTCCCCATCCCAAACTAGATTTGTATTCTTATATGGAGGTACAGTTATTTCATGAAGTCTTCTAAACAGACTCTGACGACAACCTCTACTAGTCATTCTGAAATTATTGCTCTATACGAGGCATCACATGAACGTGTATGACTTCGCAGAATAATTAACCACATACAACAGACATGTGGTATTGGTTCGATTAAATCACCTACAATTATCTATGAAGATAATTTCGCTTATATTATATAGATGCAAACATGTTACATAAACAGTAATGTCGCTAAGGACATTCAGCCTATTCGGTTGGCTGGTTCGTATCATTGCTGGTTCGTAAAGAAGTACTGCTGGCTGGTTTGTGTGAGAGAAAAATACTGTTCCGACTGAAAATTTACGACCGTTTATGACAAGCCACAGCCAAATGAACAGGCTATTGCCCCTAAGTTGTTTTATCCCCATAAGTTACAAGAAAGTGGGAAAATAAACATCTTGCAAATCACCGCATGCGATAAACTCGCTGAACTATTTACTAAGTCCTTACCAACTTCTATGTTTCAAAATTTTCTATATAAGATTAGTATGCGACGACGTCGAAATTTATAAGAATCAGGGGAAGACATCTCCTAGATGCTGACTTGTACTATATCATATTATACTATTTTCTTTCACAAGTTTTACTCATAAGGTTTCTTGTTAAAATTTTTAATGAGGTAATATTAACATAAGCATGTGTCATATTTTCTATTTTTCCCATTAGGGTTTTTATGGGAAATATCAAAGACACGTATTGCCCTCACAACTCATTCATGGCTTTTCTCTGAAAAGGTTTTTCATGTGAGTTATCCAAGATGCAATACCAATAATATGTCGTTATATTTTCTCCTAATTTTTTCACTGGGTTTTTACAGGAGTTTTAACGGCATATCACTTTATATTGCTCCTCATGTTTTTTCTGAAAGATTTTTGGAGGAGTTATCTTTATATCATATCTCCAATATTTTTTCCATTGGGGTTTTTAATGGGATACCAATGACATAGTGGATTATTTAAATCACAAATAAATATTTTATTTTCTTCTTATTTTTCAATAAGGTTTAAAGGAGTTTTTATGGCATATCATATATTCCTTAGATTTTTCCCATAGTTTTTCAAGGAATTTCAGCTTACAACTGCATTGATCTCAAGGAAGATTCGATCGAGGAGTGTTGTGAAACGACACCTATACGCGAACGGACGTCTACAGATGAACATGCGTATCTTCACGAGTGATCTCATCCATCAAGCACATGATTAGTGAATAGGATTAGACAGTTAATTTTAGTTCCAAAGGACATGTCTTTTGGAAACAGTCGTGTCCCTTCGTGACATCTCTCTATTTGTATAAATATATTTTCGAGATTAATGAAAGCAACTGTTCTTTCACGTCTTGTTCATTTACATTCACTTCTAACAGAGGTGACATCAAGATCTGCCCCGAATCGAGGGTCTGTGATTTAATGCTAACCGTGGATACCAGTTACTTTACCTTTTGTTGGCCCTTTCTGGGCAAATACTGGAATGGATTAAGGCATTTTTTGGGCCCTTTCTGGACAAATACTGGAACGGTTGTTTTGGGAGAGAAACATTATTTAGAAAATTTTTGCCCTCATCATAACATCGTTTGGAACTTCATTTTGCAACTCATCAGCAATGAACATGTAACATCGGGACACTTCAAGAAATCTGAAAAGAATCTATGTACAAAGCTACAGACGTGCCATTAGCTATTAGTTAGAGCGTATAAAATGTCTACTAAAGTGTCAAATGGATACATAAACATTCAGATTTTGCACTGAATAACAGCACAAGCAATATTATTGTCCTCTTTATATACAGGATTAGAGCCGCCATTGCTGTTGCTCATGGAACTCAGGTTAGCTTGCACAAGTACTGTCTGCATGCCTGTTAATACGCAATCTCCGTCTCACAAGCGGCCCTGTCATGGGCTCATGGTTCTATTTTCCTTGACTCTACACTGGAGTAGTTTCATTTGGGGTATAAAGTGCTACTGGTCGAACAGAATCTGGTTGATGGGAATGCGTGCTGCCAAATCAATCTAGATGATCACGGTTTGAGATGAGTCCACGTATCTCTTCTGTCATCCGAAATGTCGTTTGACTTTGTGCCGATGATCCATAACCAATGAGAATATTTGCGCCTGTTCCTCAAATGCTCTGGATGGTTCCTCAAATCTGGACTGAAAAGTGGTGAGACTCACTTTCCTGTATAGGCCTTCTACTTTGGTCCTGGGTTGACTTCTTGAAAATATTTGTGCCTGTTCATTAACACCAAGATGGTTACTTAAAGATTAAAAAAAAACTACAGAGAGAACGATGATTAAAATTGAATGCAGGAACATTCTATTGGTGGAGAGAAATATAAAAAAAAATTAGCAAGAACAGCTTTCAACAAATATATCAAGAGGTAAAGCTGCCGTCGAGACAGATAATGGTCCCATACATGATGCAGAGTAGCAATACAGCCTACGATGTGCAAGTACCTCTAGGGAATCTAGCACTGTTCTTCAAGGTTCAAACTTTAATGCACCCCTCCCATAATACTCCCTCCGTTCCAAATTGTAAATTGTTTTGGCTTTTCTAGATACATAGCTTTTGCTGTGCACTAGATATACATTTCTAGGTGCATAGCAAAACTAGAAAAGCCAGATTGACTTACAATTTGGAATGGAGGGAGTAATATATATTTTGTGGAGTTAATTGAAGATGAAAAGTCTATTTTGTGTAGAAGAGGTTTGCACGGTTATCCCAAACATTGAAAACAATACCAGACATTACTGGAGATTAAAGAGATCATACAATTGCGATTCATCGTATTCTTGGAGCAGCTTTTGTGCTCCACGCAAAAACTTTCTTCGGCCTTGTGGTTGCCATCCTGACCTCTCCAGATATTCTTCGATCAACCTGATATTACCAGAGACAAAAACTCTACAGAATTGATCTACAGAATGTCCAAAAAAGAGTTCTAGACAGATCTAAGAACTTACATGCTACAGATTGACTTTTGAGAGGCAGACACTTCACGGTCTGGAAAGGAATCATCCATTCTGAAGCTTAACCACACATATAACTCTAGGACCTGAAGTGATCACCATAATAAATGATGCTTAATCTCAATGCAACAATTTTAGAGTACCGAGAATAATTTGTATTCAGAAGAATGTTGACAATATATACAGTAAATGGCTATGAACTAACAAGTTACTAAGTTACTACAACAACAACAACAAAGCCTTTTAGTCTCAGGCTAGTTGCAGTAGGTTAGAGTTGAAACCCAACATGAAACGCCAACAAAAAGAACAAGAAAGAATAATAAAATAAATATATACAAGGCATCAATGATTGTGATATTATTCGGGGATGTAAAGCCTGCTCATGGTTCAGGCATGTGGAGTTACTAGCAGTAAGAATTTAGGTGCAAATAAATAACCTTGTGAACTGATTCAAGCTCCTTGAGTTGATTGTCTGTTTTAGGAACCTGTCATGTTCCAGGTGTGAATATCTCTTTAAGGCGAGCAATGCCTTTCCTTGCATAATTTTCTGCAAACTGCATATTGACGAAATTAGAAACATGTGTCCTAGTTCCACAAAAATATAGCAAAGAAAAACAATAAGATAGAAATGCTTGCCTGAACTAGTCCTTGGACAGATATATCATCACGTCTGTCCACTGGACTGCAATATGAGTTGGAAAGTAATTAGATAACAGTAGTTCACAAGAGTTGTGAAGCAAGACAATTCAAAAATACATACAAGAGGACAAATTGGTACGTATCACAGTAATATAGATCACCTGATACAGAAGAGGTATTTATCATACAATCTGAGAGGGAAATCATCAACAATAGCAGCAACCTTCTGTTAAAACAACAAAAGAAATAATACTTAACAAAATATTATACTTGCAACTTAACAGAAAACATACTCTACCTAGGAAAGTTCACTATCTCCTACAACTAAAAAGACTAAAAGTAAGACTATTTTTTGGTGCGACTTTTTTTTTGGGGTCGCTCCTCCCTTCCGGCCATGCGATACCCCGCGCGATCGAAAAAGAAACTGCCATCCCTACGATCCCCGCCTGCTTTGAAGGAAACAAATCGATCACCTGAGGCCACATCATTGAAGGAAACAATAATTATGCATGGAAGGAAACAATTGGCAAAGATCAAGCAAGACGACTCAATGAGGTTGGCCCTTAATTTAGTGTTTCCAGTATGCAGACCTGAAATTAAAAAGTGGCGGCTCCTTGAGAACATCAGTGGTGCCAAATAAAAGATGTGCAGGTTATACATGGTGAGACTGGTGAACCTTCTGCAATTTCCTAAACGAATATTCCCACCATTCGTATATAGGTCAATTCCCCTGCGTTTCTTCGTGCTCCAATTAACATATAATATGAAAGTATTGTTGTGTTCATCACGACTTCCAGTTGACTACTCCCATTAGCATATACTTCCTCTGCCCCAAAATATAAGTCGTTATGGGATGTGTGCAGGTCAAATTTTCTCAACTTTGACTAGGTTTGTAAAAAATACGTGCAACATTTAACAATCAATTGGTCGACTCCTGAGGTCACATGCATGTAAAAAATAACTATATTATAATTGGTCGAAGTTAAAAAAATGTTGACTTCTCGGGAAGCGAGAATGAATTCTATTTTGGGACAGAGGGAGTATATGAAAGCAGTGTTGAAAATATTTTAACAATCAAGTTCGTCTCTGTCTGATTGGTAAGCTTAAGACATCATAATGGCATTAAAAATTTTGACTCTCATGGACACCCTCATGGATCAGTGCAAAGCATCCCAATCCTACAGCATACACAAATAGCAACCTTAAAGACTATCTTAGACGTTCTGGCATTAGAGTATATACGTGCAGACACATAGGCATGGTGGTGCAAGTGAGCAGCCAGCAGGAGTCGAGAGTTAAGAGGTGTTTGGATCCCAGGACTAAACTTTAGTACCTGTCACATTGAATTTTTAGATATCAATTAGAAGGACTAAACATGAGCTAATTATAAAACTAATTACATAAGTTGTGGCTAATTCGCTTGCCAGCGCCGTGTACAAGATGGTACGGAGATGTGGTGGAACTTATTCGTGGATTTGTTGGCGCACGAAAGAAATGGATATCGGAAATCTCTTGTGCCGTATATAAAAATGATCTTAGCCGCATCACGTAAAGATCTACAGTAGAGTTTGTGAGCTCATGACGCCATGCTCTCTGTGGATGTGTAAATTTCACGAACTTAGTTTTTGGATTAAATGTCACTTTAACGTCGGTCATATACTTTTTATGATGATTGTTATCTTATCGAAGCGATCCGTGTGTTTTTAGTACAAAAGTTTAGTCGTCCGTAGCAATGCAGACACGAAGCTATTTACATATATACTTGAACCTGTGTGTACATGATTATATGGAGATGCAGTGGAACTTATTCATGGATTTATTGGCGCATGAAAGAAATGGATATCGTAGAATTCTTTTTCGCCGATAAAACTATTATCTTAGCCAGTATCAATTAAAAAAAAAATCTATCTGATGAGAGTTTGTGAGCTGCTGACGTCGTCGCGCTCTCCGTGATCGTGTTAATTTCACGAACTTTGCTTTTTGAATTAAATGTCATTTTGACGTCGGTATTTAATTTAATAAAGATTGTTATCTTATAAATGCGATCCGTGTGTTTTTAGTACAAAAGATTTAGTTGTCCCGTAGCAACGCACGGGCACGCTATCTAGTTGTTATAAATTTAAGGATAATGCGATGTTATTGTTTTTTCAGCAGGCATTGTCTATTTCTACCCAAATGATTTCATCTTGATTTTATACAATGTTCCTTGTAGAAAATTTGACCCAATAAAGAAAAAGGTACTTATGGAAAAATTTACCAACATATCTTCACAATCAGCAATAAAATAGTCTGGTGATAGTTTAGCCTTCTCCAAGAAACGTTCCTGCAGCCCAACAAAATGAAAACTAATACACATTTTCTGACCATAAGAAGTAGCTGCAAAAAGCCAGAAAGCATTGATATATATTTGGTGGGAGAAAACTAAATATGATAACAAGCTATCCAAGAGATGATATCTCCAGATATGGTAGATTAGGATCATGTAATCCCAGTTTGCCTTATATTATCTCTAAGGGAGCCTTCTTGTCTCCAAAGCAATGTACACCTATATAATCTGCCCATGAGACTCAGAAATACAATCGCCTATTCCACCAATTCTATTCCTCCTAGGCTCCTATACAATGTAGATAGGCGAAAGGCAACTCTACTTCAATATTCTGAGCAAGTCAACTCAAGCTGAGCACCAGAAGTTTGAACAAATACACAGATACCTCAAAACAAATGAAAATATTGTGAAGGAAATTCAATTGACGCATGCAAAAGATTGTGACATATTTGCTTGAACCAACCACCTAAAGAATTATGAAGCAGCTATAGTGCTAGAAACTAATGGTATCTGGGATCTGGGCGTTTTTTCTCAGTCCTGCTGACGAGTTGTTTCGTTTTAGTGCAAAACCCAGGGGAGTTCTTCCCTCAGGCCTCGGGACTGAGTTTTTATAGTGCTAGAAACTTCTGATGGATATTGAAAAATAGCACAGGAACTTATAGTATCCCAGCTAAATGGTTATCACAGTATCACCACTAAGTTGTTTGTCAAGTAAAGCATGTAACTTTGTTGTTGACAATCAGTTATAGAATCCAAAGTATGTGTTTGTATTGAGGCATTTTACACATAGCATGAGAGATGGTTTGTTTAGCTTACCAGTACAGGGTGAAAAAAGTCAGTTCCATGTAATCGTGAATACAAAGATAATAAATCAAATGTGGGGAAAAGTCCAGCACGCTGCAGAGAAACAAAGTCAGTAATTGTGGTTGTTTGTGCTAATTATGAACTATACAAAGCTTCTTGCTGCATTCATATTGATGGAAAGTAATCAAGTGTGCAGTAAAGAGAGTACCTCTATAATGGGGGAAGCTGATTTCAGAGACGAGTGCAGCAATGGGAGATCTTCAGCATTTAGACAGGTCACTTCTCCAACAGGGAACTTAGACCCATATCTCCCGGCCCTGCCTACAGAAAGAAGGTAAAAGTTAAAACATGTAAGATGTGCCCAAACTGATGCTCAACAGCCTGTGAATCAAGGGAAAACAAAAGGGCGAAAAGGAAACTTCTAGAGGTAAATCATAAGAAGAAAATTCAATACCAGCGATCTGTTTGATTTCGGCCACAGTTAGTTCCCTGTTGCAGAAACCGTCAAACTTCATCATTGTAGAGAAAATAATTCTGGAAATGTTCAGATTAAGACCCATTCCAATAGCATCACTAGCTACTAGCACATTAAGGTCACTGGTATCATCATTGAACATTGTCGCCTGCAAGCTTAAGGAATAGGTTAATTCACGCATGACCACCAGCAAGGTTACTTTTATGACAAAAAAAAAGACTACAAACATGACTCACAAAATCTTGAAATTCTGGCTAAAATTATGAGCTTGTGGGTTATGGCATTAATTGCGCAAACCAAGAAAAAACTGGTTGGCTGTGTACTTTAAAGTCCAGCATCAATACTGGATGGCCCTGTATGATTATCAGTGAGTATTACCGAAGTAACAACTTACACATGCTGCTATTCATCTTAACATATGGAACATGTGGCATCAATGAGGCAAAAGCACAATAGTATAGTATGACAGTAGATACCCAGATGTAAGCAAATACCTGCTTTGTTCGAGTTTCTGGTGGCAATGAACCATAGACCACAGAGCAAAGATGTTTTCCCTCCCTTTCAATTCTTTTCTGAATGCATGAAAATTTGCAAAATAAGAAAGGTGCCAGAAACTTCATATTCACTTCATCTACTGGATATCTTTTTAATGATAATGAATTCTAATCTGTTATCTGTAGATCAATACAAGGATGTGTTTTCAGGGTTTTAATGTGAAGACATAGGGAAAAAAAGTTAGCAGGCATTGTCGTGGTAACTCCGTTGCTGGTCCTTGATCCTTGTGCATTGAATCTGCCCCTGGTTTAATGGATCCACTTGTTTTATGGTTGTGGATTTGAATTATCTGTTTCACAGACTTCAGTTTACAAGGAGTATTCAATTGGCAAGGCTTATGAAAAGCATAAGGAAAACAAACATACTTTGATGGTTGCTAAATAGAAACAACTATCCTCAGATGTCTGATTTTGCTCATTTCCTAGGCTTTACTGTATTTGTTTTATGTTTTTCAAGAACTTTGAAGGACATTTTATGTTTATTTCTTAGATATGTGGAGTACATCATGCAAATGCTAGATATATGAAGCAATGTTGCAATGGCCAGTTGAACCATACCAACCTTGAGAGTATAAATTCCATGTCTTGAAAATGTTACTAAACAATCTCCTGCCTTGATGTTAGAGAAAGACCCAAGTGGAGACTTCAGAGGAACCAAAGGAGATAGTCTCTCATAATATTGAACCTGCTCAACAACATAGGATCTGTAAATTTGGATATTTGCCTGATAACATTCGTTATATGCTTGCATCAGTACTTTAGCATTATCAAGGAAAAAGAAAATAACTCCATACCAAATTATAATTCATTCTTGCTTTTCTATTGCATAAATTTGCTATGCATATAGATCGACACTTATGTCTAGATACATCTAGAAAAGCCAGAACGACTTATAATTTGGAACGGAGGGAGTATTATGCAGAACAACAAATTCATTTGGGCAAGGACAAAGCCCTCTCAAATCTACTTGGATATTCTTTGCATATACAAAACAGCAGCATAATAGCATATCACCAACCAGAGCTGCATAAGACTGCACGTAATCTTCCCATTAAGGAGGTTCCCAGATGGGTTTACTCTATAGCTGTGATTTTTATAACGGTCACAACTCAACATTTATTAGTGTTAGATCAAACACACGAAAGTACTGCATTGATAAATATTTTCTTAGAAAGATTTTAAACATATTAAAATTGATAATAGTGGTTAAAACTTGTATTTTGGAGAATGCAGCAATGTCCATGCCACTTATATGTACAGGAGGTACTAGACAAGATAGTTACAATCTAAGGCCCTGTTTGGATCTCCTAAGAAAAATGAGAATGAGATTCAAACACTTAACTATCTATCCAAACCCTACTATTTAGAGATTTTCACTATGCGAAGGCAATAATCATTATGAGAATGAGATTCAAACACCCCTCATTTGTTTAACCTAGAATCCAGATTCCATATCACTATTGAGAATCACTATGAGAGTGAGATCCAAACATGCCCTAAGTAGGGCAAGGGCAATTGAGTAGTATGACAGATGGTGTTATCCACGAAATATGATATTCAACATATATAAATGTGAACAAAGACATATTTGAGTATGTGACAGTGCCAGAAAAGTGCTGCATATCTTAAGCCTGAGTGGAGAGAATTTGAAATACTTAAGCTCAAAGTCAGCTAAGGCTTGCAAGATACAGATATTGTTGATGTTTCATCACATAATAGGTAACTACATCATATCTCTTTCTTGTACAAAAAAAAAAATACTGTCTGCCCATGTCAAGAAATCTAACTTCATAATGGCAGTATACTGGCAGAGTAACATGGTTGGCAACCTTAACACACTTCAAATTCACAACTACGATATATGGACAAAAATAAATAAATAATATATAAGTCCGCTGTAGCAGTATTTGGTTAGTTCATCTAGATTACCGTAACTACATCACCAGTAGCTTCAAGAATTCGCTGAATAAGGGGAACAGCAGCTGGGTCACCACAGACATGAAGTTCATCTGAACAAAGCCCCAGAAGTGCACGTGTGAACGAATAACCCCTTGATTTACAACCAACCATCTATTCCATGGAATAAGACAAAATTAGAATGATGGGAGATATTCCAAATAACTCTTTATTGACAGTGAGAAACACAATTGTTTTGATCATTTATTAAAAAATAAAATCAAATACACAAGCCTCTAGCTTACTATTTGTAGTTATTTATAGACATCTCTGATATCCCATCCTAGCAGTCTACAAATGAGTGTTACTTTAAGTACCTGAATTTCATCAATAACAGCACATTGATAGTCGGTTGTCACATCAGCCATCTCAATTCTCAACTGTCACTGAGCTATGTTTTGCACCTTCAATTTCGTCCCTTTCTTGTCCAGTAATCAAGTTACATGGGACGTTAACTTTGTTTAACCTTTGGGCTATCTCTCTTGCTAACAATCTCAGAGGTCCACAGTACACACCTACAAAATTTGAAGAGAACTCAGCAACCATGGTAACAGTACGTTCTTTAGTACAGGTTGATCAAAATAGTACCTGAAGCGCTTGCTTCTAGTCTCTTGAGAGCACTATAAGTTTTCCCACTGTTTGTAGGGCCAACATGTAAAAACACATTACGCTTCTTTTCTCGGGCTTTAGGGTACCAGATATGAGGATGCCTGTTGTCCGAGGTAGCACATAGCTTAATTGAAGTTTACATGGAGAACTAAACAAACTACAATATAAGTGCATCCCGGTTATTTTGAACTGTACTCATAATTCAAGCCACTATAATAACAGCATCCCAGACTGGAAGGTTACTTTAGGAATCAAGGAATGGATTGTGTTGAAGGTATGGTACAAAATGCGTGAAACTTATACACCCAAATTTGGACATGCAAGGAAAAAACTTGAATTTTACACATGTCAATAGGATACGTATTGATTCTTACGTCAGATCAGTCAAATCAAACTTCCCAGAGTTATGGTAGGCCCTCCAAAATCTCAAATTAGTAGAATTCACCATTGAGTGTAGACCAGAATTGGAAAAAAGGCCACTAGTATAAACAACTGTACAGAGTATGGAGCTTGTTAGACAGAAAAGCAATTTTAGATATGTAAGAACAACGTATAATGGATAGAACCACCAGTGGCTTTGACACTGGAACAAAGTGAAGTACTAAAGCAAATTTTAAAGTACAAGGCAAAGAAGTATAAAATAATAGCATAACCACGATACAGCACTGTGCTGTCCATTCCATATATGCCATATACACCAAAATTGAGACCACAATTTCTTATTCCTAGTATGGTAAATTTCTTCAAAGCTATGCTCTATTCATCACAGGAGAAAAGAAAACTACAATCACAACCGAACAAGAAAATTATCACCTTTTCCAACTGCTTATTTATCCAATCAAACATGAAACATAACACAGTGATGCTACTAATAACCTGCAAATAGAGACTACCACTGATACCACCACTGGTCGGTAATGTCTGCAGAGGGCGCGTTTGGTTTTGGCATTCCACCGAACACATGTCACCGGACCCCAACCAAAGGAACAAACAAACCGACCAGCCACCATAGGCAACGCCCAAGGATCCAACTTCCCAAGGTAGTACGTACCATTTCGGCACAAGGAGACCGCGTGGGGCGACGAGAGCGCCCTCTGGCGCAGCAGGACGGCAACCGCCATTATATCTGATCTTCCTTTCCCCTCTCTATCTCACTCACTTCCCTCCGCGGCGCAGCACGGTTCAGACTCGACGACAGCGAGGTGCCCGGGCAACCTTGTTCGCGCAGGACGGCAGGGGTCCGGGGAGAGGGAAACAGCCAACCAATGCGCCCGTGGGGTGGGTGTGGAGGAGGCGGCGGCCGATGCTTTCGCCGAGAAGGGAGGCATCGGAGGAAGCGGAGAAGAAAACCATGCGTGGCCCCCAAGCCCGGAATATCCCTTTCGCTCATCGGACCAGTTCACTTATTGGGCTTGGGCCAAAGGCCCATGTGCTGGCCCACGCTATCCAGCACGAGTCCGAGTCCACTTGCGGGCCCGGACGCCGCCTTCTCTTCTTCGTCTTCCTCTTTCTTCTAGTTTCGGCTAGTCTTCGACGAAGAGCGGAACCGAGCCGCCCTGGCCGAGAACTGAAGCCACCGGACGCACGGCCTCCTTCTCCCCTGCTGCTGCCGAAATCCACGGGAGAATGTGAGGAATCCTTCAACTCGGCAGCTAAACCAGTTTATTTCTTCTTTGCTGCTTGCCTGACACGAGGGGGACGCTTTGCTGTTGTTGCCGGGTGTGTGCAGGACGATGGCCGAGGCCGAGGCTGGTAGGGCGGCGATCCGGCGCGCCCTGCGGTCGCTGAAACGGAGGCACCTCGCCGAGGAAGGGGCGCACAGCCCGGCCATCGAGGCGCTAACCCGTCCCTTCGCCGCCCACGTGAGGCCAATCTCCTATTCTCCTCTCCCTACTTTTCCCAATCTTACAGTTTACTCCTTCCCTTTTTTTATCGTACTTTGAAGTCTGCAAACGAATGTGTGTTACTGATCATATTACTTGAGCCTACTGAATTCAATTGTTTGTATCACCGGGACATCCCAGTTTTTTTTTCGAGAATTTTGGACTATAACTTGGGTGTTTAGTGAAGGAGAGGCTGTTTTGTTAACTCCTTGTAGGCTTTGGAGTGGAAAGAGAGGGCTGAGAAGCATGAGTTGGAGCTGCAGCACTGCTACAAGGCACAATCCCGGCTCTCTGAGCAGCTTGTAATCGAGATAGAAGAAGGTAAAGCATCAAAAGCACTGCTCAAAGAGAAGGAAGCGATGGTTACAAGTTTGCAGGCTGAACTTGAGAAGACGAGGTATTAAATGTGATTTATTTTTGCTAATCTTGTTCACAGTTGTGGAGAACATGGTACTTAGCACTTGTGCAAAACTTTTACAGCGAAGAGAATGTACAACTAAAGCAGTCACTTGATGAAAAAACAAAAGCCTTAGATCTTCTCATTCAAGAGCATCAGACAGTGAAAGCCGAACTTGAACAAGCATTGGCGAAACTAAAAGCTGCAGAGGATGAGAACCAAAGTTTGATTGATCGATGGATGCTAGAGAAGATGAAAGACGCAGAGAGGCTCAACGAGGTACCTTATTTTCCTTCTGTTGCTTAAAATGCACATTTGCAATATGCGATATCTGAAATAGGGGATTGTCCAAGCAATATGCTTGTGGCTTGCCTACTGAGCATGATAGAAAAATTAAATTTACCTATTAGTAACGTATATTCAGCTATTCACGTGCCTGAACCTTGATTGCTTATGCTGGGTTTCAACTCTAGCCTACCCCAACTTGTTTGGGACTTAAAGGCTTTGTTGTTGTTGTTGTTGTTGTATTAGCAATGTATATTCCTTTTTCATAGTTGCAATGATCCTGTAATAACCGATGAAGAATTGGAGATACATCAAAACAAGGATGCTTATAATACCATAATGGTGCAAGCAACAGTACAATATTTCTCTTGGTAGAATTTCGTTAGTTTAGTTCTATGGTTTGCATTGACTGCCGAAGTGTATCCTTGTAAGTGACCTTCTTACACCAGTCTTGAAATATCTGCCCCATATTTAGCTAAAAACTGTACCCATAACACTTGCATGTATAAGTTACTGTTTTAATGGTTGTAAAATAATTGTCTAGGCCAATGCGATGTATGAGGAGATGGTTCTAAAGCTAAAGACAGCTGGAGTTGGTGGTATACAACTTAATGCACAGCAAGAAGCTGATGGCATCATACGGCGTTCTGAAGCTGGTTACATGGAAACATCAATCCCGTCAACATGCACAATAACTATTCGTGCTCATGATGGTGGGTGTGGATCCTTGATGTTTGAGCATAACTCAGACAAGCTAATTAGTGGGGGGCAGGATCAAGCTGTTAAGATATGGAGTGCATCTACTGGTGCCTTGACCTCCACCCTACATGGTTGCTTGGGGTCTGTTAATGATCTTGCCGTGACCAATGATAACAAGTTTGTGATCGCTGCCTGTAGCTCCAATAAGCTATTTGTGTGGGAAGTCAATGGGGGACGTCCTCGTCACACTCTGACTGGTCACACCAAAAATGTTTCATCTGTTGATGCAAGCTGGGTGAAGAGCTTTGTTGTTGCTAGTTCATCCAATGATCGTACTATCAAGACTTGGGATCTACAGACAGGTTTCTGCAAAAGCACCATAATGTCTGCAAGCAACCCCAACTCACTAGCTTTCATTGATGGTGACATCATTTGTTCGGGCCATAGGGATGGAAATCTTCGGCTATGGGATATCCGTAGTGGGAAATGCACTACACAGATAGCTGCTCATCTTGATGTCACCTCGGTCTGTGTGTCACGGAGCAAAAATTTTATTCTTACAAGTGGGAGAGATAATGTGCACAACCTTTTTGATGTTAGAACATTGGAGATTTGTGGAACATTCAGGGCCATGGGTAACAGAGCGGTGGGCAGCTGGGGCAAACCTTGTATTAGCCCTGATGAAAATTGCATTGCTGCTGGTTCTTCTGATGGATCTGTTTACATATGGTCTAGACTGAAGAATGGAACACCGACCGTCCTAGAGGGTCATTCTTCACCTGTTCTCGCAAGTGCATGGTGCGGACTAGGACCTCTTGCTACCTCGGACAGGAATCATATTTATCTCTGGTCTTGAGAGATGTACAATTTCATAAAGGCATCCAGTCCAAGATCTGGACACTGGAGGGATTCACTTCATCAGTATGCTAATATTTGCTCTCTTTAATTCTTGATGACACTAGTTTTCATGTGAATGGATTAACTGGTTTCTGAACGTTGTAAATACCAAAAGTGATTGTTCATCGTAGTGATGACTACTTCAGTTCGCCGTCTGTGTAATGGTTTGCGAGGTTTTGATGGCTGAAATTTCTTGATATTGATGATCCAGTTTGGTGCTATTTTAAGGGTGAACTTTTGAAACGCCAGTCAGCTCAGCAAACATAGTCCAGTATATGACATTGACATAGGAATAGTTTCTCCATAGCACTTCTAATTTGAATGTGTGTGTTAATTTTACTCCAATTAATTTATTCAGTTGAGATATTCTGGGCTTACTTGTGTGGCATTCTATATAGTGAAACCTGATAGTGGTCCTATCTTTGTATAATTACGTCAGGGTGCTAATGGCATATCTGCATAAAATTATGCACTTGCGCTTCTTCGTCTTCTTTTTCTTTTGGTCAGTCTGTGTGAGGAGTGGGGTTGAAAGTCAGGTTTATAGTTTACTTGAAGCTTTATACAGAGAAGCTTTGTCTGTAGGCACTTTGATTCAGGAGAGAGATCAATTAAGCCACCCTGTACTGTACTTGTTCGTTTCAACTGACTTCAATAGAGGATGAGTTGTGGAGACAGGAAGGCAGGAGGCCATGAAGCAGGTCAAAATGTGTACATCATGTGCTGTTGAGTTCATGCACGGGACGTGCACAGCCAGATATGTCGGTACTCGTTCTAGGTGCACAAAATTAATTTCGGAGAACATGAGCTATGTTCCAAACTCCAATTTTACAACAGGACAAAAAGGTTCAGAAGAGCAAGTAAAGAAGAGCTGCATGATAATGACATGTATTTGTGAATCAGTGAGGGCTGTTGTTGCCACAACTTGATTATATCCTTAGAAAGACCAAAAGGAAAGAAGAAAAAAACAATTGCACCGCCGTGTCACCAACCCTTGAAAGCTAGCCAAACCACCCTTTTTATTTTACAAGAATTATGAGCACAACTGAAGCTAAAACTCATCACAAAAAAATGGCCTGGTGCTCAAACTCATCATCATGAATATGATGGCCTGCAAGGAAAGAGAGAGATTTCAATGCTCAGGCAATGCCCGTCACACCAGGCCATCATCAGCTGTGGAGCTGACAGCGTGATGCGTAACAGTCACTAAAAAGTAAGGAAGAAAATGGGCGTCAGTTTCAAACCAGTCGGCGTCACGGAAAGGAAGCTTGACAGAGAAACCGAAACACTCTCGGGGATGAGATCAGATGAGACCACAAATGGCCGAGCGGAGAAGGAATCAGGCCCCACGGGGCAGAGAGACCAGTGAACCCGGGGCGGGGCCCCTGACGGCGACGAGGCACCGCTCAAGTGGGCGCTGGGCGCATCCGCCCCACAGCCCCGCCCGCCCGATCGTCTGGTCTGGGTGAGCAGGGCAGCAGGGCAGGCAGGGCTCGCCACAAGAGACATCAATCATTGAGCTCTTTTCCATGGGTTCATGCCGCAAGAAACCCACCAATGATTGGGGACTCGCCTCACCCAGGGCATGCAGCAATAGCATGCTCTTAAAGATCGGTATGGTTTAATGCTGGATTCGTTGGGAAATGGTCTGAGTTCTTGTCAGGATTGGGGAGATGAGATGTTCTGAGCTACTGTCAGAACTCGTAGTGCTCTGAAGCTATGTTAGTCAGGGTTGATCTGACATTCTGATGGTTGCAGAAACGAGTTTGGAGACAAAATTTATCACAGAGTAGTTCAGCCACTGGGAGCTAAATTTGCAGTTTTTTTTTTCTAGTAATAACAACATAATGAAATTTATATCACAGCTTCAGCTCATCCTGGACAAAACGTCTAGTACATCATCTGATCAAGAAAACATCTATGATCGTCTGATCAGATGGAAATGGAGCAACCAGTACAATACAGCAACAATAATAGCACTCAGCAAACTCCGTTTCTTTACCTGCTAGGCATCAGGCTACGCGCGAATGGATGGACCATTCAGAGGCTGAAGAATCCCCGGTCGCCGCGCGGCGGCAGATTGATCGGCCGCGGCGAGCTCTCCCTCTCCGATGCGGCGCCGGCGCTGGCGCCGCCCTCCACGACGCGGTCGCCGAAGATGTGCACCGTCCTCGGGTTGGGCCCGCGGGAGATGACGCACGTGTAGTCCTCCGACGACGTTTCTATTATCTCCCGCGGATCGGCCGGCGCCGGCGACGTAGCCTCGCGGCCGCTGCAGGTGCTGAGGGGCAGCCACGAGCTCTTGTTCTTGACGCCGAACTCGACGCGGCGGTCCAGGGAGCACGACCTGACCAGCGAGGACGACGACGTCGCCGCGAGCACGATCCGCTCCTGCTGCTGCTGGTGGTGGTGGTCGCTGCAGTCCAGCGCGTCCGCGAGGCCGTTGTTGTCCCGCGCCCGCCACGGCCGGCGGCGCTTGCCGACGCCGTCCGGACCTGGCGCGAAGGCCGCCGCCGCGTCGAGCACGGACGTCGGGCTCATGGAGAAGGACGTCTCGGACTCGGCATCCCGCGCGGGGCTCTTGACGAAGGCGAAGGTGCCGGCGGGCAGGGAGGAAGAGTGCAGCAGCCTCGGGGAGGCGAACAGGGCACGTGCAGCGGCACTCTTGCTGCCGGCGGCGTCTGCCCCGGCCCCGCCGCCGTCGCCGTCGGATGGAACGGTCGACGAGCTCGCGGCCTGATCGGGGACGTGGCTCCTCTGCGCGCCGGCGCTGTTCATTGACCTCGATCTCCTCCGCAGGATCACCTCCTGGATCTTCGACCTCAAGAACATTTCCAACAGCACCGGACCAAGAATTCAGGACCAACTACACTCTGCACGGACAGACAGGAGGTGGCACAAAAGAAGCGTCAATTCGCGATGTTCGTTCCAAGAACTGAAGTGATCGGGTTGCAGAGGAAGAAGTGATCTTTAACGAATTCCCAGACTGATCTCGGTTCTACCTTTCAGCTAGGTGGAGTAGAAGCAGCGGCTAGCAGGAGACAGCAAGTCATGAGAGCTGCAACGCCATGGACGAGGCGGAGAGCTTAAGTACGGAGCGCGAGGGCCAATCAAAGCCTCAGAGGTGCACTCAAACGCAACTGCAAGCCCAGGGGAGAAGCAAAATGGGACCTCGCAAACCTTGGCAAGATCCTGAAGCCACCGGGCATCAGCTGATCAGCCTGTTTGTAGTAGTGTGTCTTGCTACTGCACCTCAAGCAAGAATTTAAGAGCTCAACTGCTAGTTACCTAGGACCTAGTATAGAGTGAGTGACACAATGGAGAGGAGAGAGAGAGGGCAATGAGGAGGGGGGGGGGGGGGGAGGTTGTGGTGTGATCTAAAGAAGGCTCTCCTCTCCTCTCCTCCCCTGACCCCCCCTGTGATGTCAGTGTTGGTTTGTGTGTGTGTGCTTCCAAAGGGCAGGTCCTTATCTTCATCACTGCACTGCCCGTCTCTTTCTCTGCCCTCGCAACGCAGCTCGATCGCAAGCTCCTTGTGTTGTGTGTTACCGTCCGCTGCTCTGGCATTGGAGCCCATGCACGGCAGCGGTAGATTTTGAATGGCATAAAATAGAGCAAGGGCCCACCAGTATTTTTTTCTTAAAAAAATAGAGCAGCATTATATAAGATAACCATGTCTGTTCAGTGTTTTCAAATGAAATGGCTAATCTGCAGTATCAGAATCAAGAGTCCATCTAAGCTGCCATCCTTCAAGCTAGACTACTTGCATATATTTGCAACAAAATCATTCATCTTAGCACACAACAAAGTTTACCAATTTACGTGGTGGATGTACAGGAAGATTTCTTTCTTTCATAGAGGCGTCGTCACTCTTCCTCCAGTAAACACAACGACCTTTTGTTCTTCTCATCAAGAATCATGTTGTCCTCACTCAGTGTAATGATCTTCAACCAGAACCGACAATGAAACAATTGATTGTTTAGCAAGACACTGAGATAAACTCAATGCTTGACTGATATTTACAAGAACCGACAATGAAACAATTGATTGTTTAGCAAGACTGATATTTACAATGTGTCATCAGTAATGCTCAGTATATGATACTTTGGAAATCAGCATAATTACGACATGATGAGCATATTCTCAATGGCCTAGTGAAAAGTAACAAGTTTTTAAATAACTGTGAATGCCCAAAAGGAATATATACACTTATCGGTTCGAAAATGCATCTGATATTCTTGATGCTTCTTCAAGAGATAATCCATTCTTTGTACACATGCCATAAATAATCCCTGAATTATATCTTCACAGCTGGGCTGTCTGTTAAACACAAAATGGTTGTAACTAGCTGTAGCAAGAAGCAAGTATAATAGTACATATCTGTTCAAGTAAACTTTTGGGCGTGTTTTTTCCCACACCATAAACAGGGATGAGCATCTATAGATTAATCCCAAAAGTCAGGGTGCAGGAAATATATTACAAGTGTATCATGGTTACATGTCTGACATTAGATATTAGGACTTAAGTCAGCTAAATGATGTGCAAGTAATGCAAGGCAGAACTGATATACATTTAAATTCAGCTCTTAAACCTTCCAGGAAATAATGTCCGCACTGAATCTAATATCAATAGATAACAAAATTAGAGTCTGAACCTACACATCAAGAAACACTAACAAAGTTGTCTGCATATCAACAACAGGATGTGGATAGAAAGTTTGGCTGCATAGCATCACCAAGAAGTTTGTGGATATAAAAACTAGAGTTTTCTGGTGAAGTTTTCGAGCTAAATTGGAATAACAGGAAGTATATTCACTCTGTTCTCAAATTATTGGAAAGGGACATATTGATCGGAAAGAAAGCTACCTTTTATGTCAAACTAGACTTCCTACACTTTATGATCATGAACTGTATGGGTTGATAACTATGCTCAGTATCATAAATGAAATAAAAAAGGCTGGCCAACAGTATATAGGAACATTCTCCATCTAGAAGTTATATTACTGTCACATTAAACTATAAAACTTATTGGGTGAAGTAGCAAAGTTATATTACTGTCACATTAACCTACTAGTTGCTCCTTTATTAGTAGAATTGTGTCTGTCCATTAAAAAAAATCTTTACGGAATTGCTGAAGTAACAAAGTGTTTTAGGTGACGCTTAGCATTTCTAGATGAACAATTTCTTTTCTAATATCAACCTAGCTGAGGAAAATACAAGCACATAGTAGTTTGTTCTAAAGCAAACCAACTAATGTTTTAATGAAATGCATCCTCTCAGTAGTCCGTCACCTTGAGATCCTTGCTAAACCGAGCATTCAACATGAAGAACTAAAAGCAATCGAGAATCCGAAAAGCATTCAAACATTATTCTAAAGAAGAGTCTCTTTGATCCACATACATATGACTGATAATAACCATTCACGTAAGGATGCAGGCTTACAGCAAGAACGGTTAAGAGAGCATTTCAGCAGATGTGGAGCAAGCAATAGCAAGCTAGATGCCTCACCTGCAAAGACTCCAGCCTTTGCCTTTGTCGTTCCGGCAATTCATCGAGCACCTTGGCGACATGGCGTGGTCGAGCAGCAGCCTGAACACGTCCGCGCTCCTGCCCCTAGCCGTCGCGTAGAACATGTCCGTGACGCCCAGGCCAGCGCTAGGAGCAGGCCGTAGCCCCCAGGCTCTAGGCGCAACGCGGCACCACGTCTTCGGGACGCTGGGCGCGACCCACGGCCGCTTGCTAGCTCTGCGTCGTCGAAGAGAGGGGAGCGCGGGACCGGGAGGGGAGCCGGGGCGTCTTGGGATCGAGAAGAGTGAGCCGTTCTTGACACTGCGCGCCAACCGGCACCGCCTTGATTGGCGCGCCGCCGAGCGCCCTTGGGCGCATCGAGGTGGAACGAGGTCGGGGCGTTTGTGGCGAACCGTCAAAATAGCACACTTACGAGGCGCTTCGTCTTCCACCGGACACTAAACACCCGAAAGCAAGCTATAATGGACGGTGATCCGTCGGGTACACTCAAAGGAGAACTCAAAAGATCCACATTTTCCCCAAGGATCCAATAATAAGAACGAGTTACAATACTTAATCTATTTCATACATCCAGAGTTCGTAAAAAAGTACATTATTACATTTTCAAAGTCAGAGTGTGGAATATTAAACAGCGGAATTAAGATAAACATCTAGCGATAAAGAACGATGATCCGTCTGTGCCCACCAGAAGAATCCTCCACACAAAGGTACTCCTCAAGTGTTACCTACAACAGGGGTATATAAACACTGAGTACACAATGTACTCGCAAGACTTATCCGACTAGTGGGAATAATTTCCCGACTCCAAGAAATATGATAAGCTTTATGGTTTGCTAGTTTCCTTTTTGGCAGAAAGCAATACTATTAGTTGGTCCTTACTTATGATATTATTAATAGCCATATTAATTTATTATCTATCCATTCTATGTAAGCACCTGTTCTACTTTTAAGTAAGAGTTGAGCAATCAGTTCTATTTCATCACCTTCCATCTTTTAGTTCTTACTACGATGCTAGAGTTAAGACAAGTCGTACCGACTCGGCGGTGATTCACGAATCAATGTCCCTAGCTGGGTACCCCAAAAACACACGCCCCGCTTGTACCCCAGGCACAAGTAGGACTAACCCATCACCCTCCTGTCCTGGGTGTCCAGGTCCCCGTCCAAACTTGGACTCCAAGCCCCCACTGCTGAGTCCCGAACTCAGTGCGGTGCAAGGATCTCCACCATCCCCGTCTTCAATCAGTCGGTCCGAAAAGAGCCGGATCCACGACAAGAGAGCAACGAGCTTTCACTGCGCCCATACCCAAGTATGTGCTCAGGATAAAAGATCTGTGACTTGCCTAGCATCCATTTCAACGACCGGTCCTTAACCGACACAGACAGGAAAAAAGTGTAACCGAGTTATGCCCTGTTGGCCGCATGACACAACCCCTTACACCCACCAGTACCCAAACCATATCTCTATCCGGTCACCATTTTCCTTTACACCATTTCATCATGAGTGATCATAATTATCACCTATTGTGAGTAATGGCAGGTTACTCACGCTACCAAAATTCTGAGCATAGCAGCTACTCGACCTGTACTAGTAGGACTCATAGGTAGATATATTTATGCATATAGTTTCCATAAAATACATGTAACATAAATGCACATCATATATATTAAGTGATCATTAAAATAGAGGTTATGCAGGGGCTTGCCTTGGGGGTGAATGACAGTCGTCACAAAGTCCGACACCAAAAGGCTCTAGGGCTCCCTCCTGCACGAGGATCTCCTCCTCATACTCCTCAATGATCTCTTCATAATCCTGTTCGTCCACGGGCACGAACTCTACCAACTCGTGATCTACATGCATGAAATAATGACGCAACACTTAATAATATGGCAACAGCAGCTCTTAAAATAAACTATATCTTATCAAGTTACTAAGCTAGTCCTACCGGCTAAGGTACTAAGTTACCTACTGTTACCACTAACAAGTATGAAGCATGACATATATTATCATAGCAACTAAATGTATTCTTACTCCTAATACCGATTTATTCTATATATGATAAAACAAGGATAATAGCTACTCTGTTTATCAACCTACTCTAGGGCTACAAAATTTATAGCAAGTACATAATAATCTAATGAGCCCCTCTTGTAAAAATTTCATAGCTATAGCTATCACCAATTTACCACAAAAATTTCTATAAATATTAATCTACATAATACTAAGCTCTCTAGTTTGGATTTATGAACCCATCACTATCATAGCTAATTGTAATCTAACTACTCTAATAGATAGATGGTATTTTT